GATGAGTATATCTTAGATTTATGCATGAATTTAAAACTTTTGAGTATCCATGACTAATGGAAAACCTATCTGAATACATAATGGATGTCATACTCAATCAGTAATAGAATACTGGACAATATAAAACAGAACAAACACCATTCATTTTTGCAGTTTAATGTGAATTTAAGTTTATTCTGAAGACCTACGAATGTGTACATTCATTAACATTGGACACAAAATTCAAAAGGAAAAGAAAAGTGGATATGCTAACACATGTAATTTCTTTCCTTGTTAATTTCATTATGCGTATTTCTATAACAACGGATTACAACCATGACAAACTTGTTTACAAGTTACATACCTGCCAACCTCTAAAGATAAAAATTCAGAAGATTTCTCCAAAATTCAGAAGAACACGAAGAATTAATATCATGCTTTGATATTAAAAAAATAACAATTTATACAAATAGAAACAAGAAAATTGTACTTGCATTAGTAAATCTCAATTAAGTAGTAACTAAAAAATTTATTAGGAAACATAAAACAAGAACTTAATGTTACACAAAAAAAAATTAAATTCTTTGGAAAATTTCCAGTCATAACAATTCGTTTCCTCATAACATTTAGCAATTAAAATGTTTTCTAGAGTTTTTGGTGAAACTGAAGAACGAAACATAGTTTTGTTTTTCTTAACTCTGAAGACTCTCTCGCACTCAGCATTACTGTGTGATATTACAGCTGCAGCTTTTTCTGCTGCCAAATTAATTAAGTGGCATGGGCATCCAATAACAATTCATTTTGTTCTTTTTTGAGGAAAGAGGCTACACCCTTTTTGTCACCCACCATGACATGAGCATTATCTGCACCAAATGAAATGCAGTTTGATATTGGGATGTTAAGTTGTTTCAACTCATTAATTACTAAGGAGGCAATATTTTCCCCCGTAACGTCTCCATTTAACAATGGAAGACGCAAAAGATGAGTTTTCATTTCATTAAAAACATCACAGAAATATGTGACAACGATGGGGTAAAGCTTCCAAGCGCAGTCGTTGCTGCCATCGATTGACAATGAAAATGCTGAATTCTGGAGTGCAGCTATCGTTTTACTTTGTGCATCGCAAGCAGTTTCGTTCACAATAGAAGATGTTTTCGTGTGAGCACAAGCATATTTCTGAGCAATCTTGGAGTCGGGAAGCATCCATCTGGAAAATTGACCGGCGTGATCGGCAGCGCTTAGCGGCACGTTATGTTCGATGAGGAATGCAATAAACAAACACTGCCAAAATGACATCGGCATTCGAATTCGTAGCCGAATTTGAAAAAAAAAAAAATCATCCATTTTCTTTGACGTTGTCGAGTTGAACTGCGGTGCTTAACCACCAGGGTGCCTGGGCGCCATAGCCCTACCCCTCATCGAATAACATGATAAAAGTTTCAAATTCTGAGAAATATAACTGAATGTGCTAAATAATTAAATGAGCAAGAGTTTAAATTCATAATTGCCAATAGCTAAATACATATTTTTTCCCTTAAGCACCTAATTACTAATCGATACACAATTAACTATTTTTTTAACAACTATTTCACAGAAGAATACATGTACACACAAGAGAAAGAAAATACGAAGTGCGACGCCTTAGTGCCACTAGCAAAAACAAAAAGCAGTCAGAAGGAAAAAAGAACAATATCTGAGCAACAATTTGCATAACACAGATACAAAATTACACATTACTAACATTTAGGATCGCCCTTGGGCATTTACTGAAATTGGGGTCCCTAGTATCATAACAATAGTTAACAACCACAGGATTGTCCAGAAGTTCCTGTTTATCATAAAATGCCCTAGATAGGCGGCAATAAAAATCACAAAGATCCTCTATTCTTAACTCTTTACGAATTTGGCTATTCCGAATGTACAAGGGGGCATTACATATCATACGCAATACCCCGTTTTGGGCAGCTTGTAACTGCCTTCTCAAACTTTTGCACGAGTATGCCCAGATGGGGCATGCATAACTAAGAATTAGACGCAACATGGTTTTGTAAATGAGCAACTTATTATCAATAGATAGAACACTGTTTCGAGCAATTAAGGGGAAGAGTGAAGCTTTACTAGCTCGAAACTTCCTGAGAATATGTGTAATGTGTGGGTTCCATGTAAGATTTACTGAGGATCACCCCAAGATAAGGGACCTGCTTGACCTGCAAATGTATGTCCACACCATACATTTGCAGGTGAGTCGGGAAATTCTTCTTAGTAGTAAACAGTATGGCATGTGTCTTGTCGACATTCACTTTGACTTTCCATTTGGTCAGCCAAGTCTCTAGCGAGTGGATGTGGTGTTGTAGCTGTTGTATTGCTGAACTAACAAATGCACTTTGCGTAAGTATCGCTGTGTCGTCTGCATACATGGCTAGTGTTGTGTTGTGTGTAGTGGGGATGTCGTTCACGTAAATATTGAATAGGGTAGGGCCCAGAAGGGATCCCTGTGGAACACCAGCCCGTATAGGCCGGTTTGTGGATAATGAACCAGAAACATGAACGACAAAGTGTCTACCGGTTAGGTAGGATTTAATTATGTTTGTGATGTAGCCTGTGAGTCCCAGGTTGTGTAATTTGTCGAAGCCGAAGCATTAACTTCATGCTTTTTAAGACTTAACATGCTTCACAATGTCGCTTCTTCCACCGTGACTTATTATGAAGTCACACACGCACACGTTGCAAAATGCATAGTTAATTCCTTTGAAGGATTCTTTAATTGTTGGAAATTCGGCTTTCTAGGCAGGCCGAAAATATTGAGAATACGGTTTTTTTGAACTCATTTCGTAACAACGACGTATTAAAAAAATTCGTAGCATGTGCAAACAAACAAAAAAAAAAAAAAAAAAAAAAAAAAAAAAAAAGAGAATGCGACAATCCACGCTCGCTGAGTAATTTCCCTTGCTGCTGAAGCAAACGCGAAAAAAATAATCTGGCGCCCACAAAGAAAAGAGTCAGAGAAACAAGTTCAGCACATTGGATTGGCTGGTTAAGCGACGAGTTGGGAGAAACCGCAGGTTACTGGATTCGAAGTAGTCGGTAGTTGGCGGTAAAACACGATGCTATTGGCGAAAAATTCTAAAATTTCGACAAAAATCACTAAAAACACTTGAAAAAGGAAAAAAATTGTAAAAAATGGATTACGATCGTAAAATCGTAAAGACAAACGCATTTTCGTAAAAATTACGAAAAATTCGTAAAAGTTGGCAGGTATGAAGTTATACATATTAAACACTTTTATTTTTTAAAAAAATTTACATAAAAGGACTAGGATTTTTATTAAAATGATGGTATGATGATTAAAAATATATAATACACTATAATTAATCATACAGCTTCTTCACCATAACTTCTACCGAGCTCTAATTCATTATTCGAGCAAAATGCTCAAAAGTGAAATCTAGCCAAACTAATTATGACTCAATAGCAAATATTACAATAGACATACCAACTTTGTAAGAATAAAAAGAAAAAAAAAAAAATTCTGGAAGGGAGAGAAGCTAATTCAGGTAGAAAATTTACTTAATCCGACTACAGGTAATGCCAGACTATCATCCTCATCATCATTTCATGCACATTATTTTAGTTCTAGATAAGCTGGCTTAGTTTTTATAAAGCATATATTAATTACTGGCAATTTATGTTTTCCTATCATATTAACTTAGTAGTGACCTCACTAGGAAACTATAAATAATAGACAAGTCAAACTACGCGACAATAGACTGGAACTACATTCAAGAAGCGGGTATGGTATCACTACAAAGGTGTCATAAATTAGAAAAGGTACAAAATCTATCCAACAAAACACATGAAAGCTTATTCACTGATTGATACTTAGTTGACCACTCCTCCCTCAAAAACAGATATACAGTATTTGCTTAACAACTAATCTTACACCTAATCATTAACATGAAGGGCTTCTCTGCATGCAGACATTTTTAAAAGCTGCAAAACAGGACCAGAAACACACAGATCTGAGAATCAGGTCAATCAAAATGCAATTCCATAAATCCGGAAAATACTGCTAAAATTTCATATTTGACATTAAAAAGGCACCAGTTTACCCTATTTCTTGGACCTAAGCATCAAGAAAATAGATAAATCCACTTAACTTCTCAACTGCAGAGAGTTGGCAAAATAAAGACTATTTAGTAAAAGAAAGTAAAAAGAATGATTTTTGTTGTTATAAAATATAAATGAGCATAAAAAGGCGAACTTTAGTGTAATTTCATCCCAGCTTTTCACAAGTTTTCAAACTCGATGGGTTAAAAAACAATAAGAAACTCAAAAATTCTCAATCATATTAACTTCTACCTAACACAGGCAACTCCTACTTCAGCAAGAAATAGGATTTCTGCTTCATATACCTATGAAGTTTTACTAATAATGGGAGATGGATTTAAGAGATTCAGATTAACTTTTTTTTGGAGGGGTGTTGAGAATATACTTTTACATAATATTTGGTAAACTAAGCCAAATGCTCTTAGATGGCCCATAGGAAAATATTCAAAGAAAACTGACTCAAAGGCACTAATTCCTGAATGAAAATGCTAAAAGCTGCAACAAGTAAAATGCTTCAAGTTAAAACTAGGTTTAGGTTTATGTGATTACGGCAAAGGACACAAGGGCCACCTGCCTAACGGGAGGAATGCCTTCGCGAAGGACTACTTTCTGCAGGAAACTGGCTTGCATCTACACTACAAAGGTGGAAAACCACGAAAATGGCCATGCAGCCAGCCTTTTCGTCAGAAATCAAACCCAGCTCAAGTTACCAGCATTCCGTGACTTTACAGCTTGGCCACTGGCGAGCAAGTTAAAACTAGAGATTCTCAATTTTACGAACTCATGAAACCAACCAGTCCGTTGTGTAAGAATTTAATAAAGTGATATTACAAGTAGAATGATGAAACTTTTACCGCACAGTTAATTATAACATTCAAATAGAGTTTGTTTTATTAGAAAATGAAATTTCTTACCTCTTTATGTTTCTCCATAGTGGAATAAATTTTTGCTGACAAATCATTACCAGTATAAGGAACGTTGGACTTCTTGTTGTTTTTACGCTGATTGTTTTTGCTTTTGTTAGATTTTTTGTTCCGGCCACTCTTTTGTCCTTTCTTTTTACCCTAGAAAAGGGCTACAGGTTAATACACCACTCATATTATTCTACCAAATGAAAAACATGATCTGCTCAGTATTTTTAAAACCCATAAAAATAAGGGACATGAAATTAAAGAAACTACATTAAAAATTTCCACTATAAAATTTAGAGGCAATGTATTACATGGACTACTATCTACACTGATTTTAAAGGGGGAAAAAAAGATTCATAGCTATTTAGGTTTATGGAAATAGTTGATGCTTATTCAGATACAATATAAATACACACAAAATATCGATGTACATACAACAAAAAATTCAACATGATTTCGCATTTAAAAACAGACACTGCTTCTGAAAGCACCATGTACACATACTGAATGCTGCTACAGCTATTATAGCTGTAAAGCATGTGAACTTGCACTATACTTTGACACATGCACACTGTAACACACATTAATAAAAGCACTACACACACCTTCACAATATATGAGTAAACCAAGCATAACAAAAAACCATGGTTTAATTGATTAAAAATCCCACTTATACGCTCTTATAACCACTCCTGCTACTGAAAACAATTGCGGCATTTTGTAATGAATCCACACTTCTACACACTCCATTATCTCACTTGACATTAGGCAGGAGGAGACAGGTGCTAAGTACCTAGGTAGGCAAAAGCAAATAGGCTAAAACAAGGCAAAACATGTCAGCTGAGAAAGGGAACCTCAAAGAAATGCCAAATGGCTAAAAGAGGAAAGGGTGCCTTTCAGCTAAAGAAGAAGTGGAACACACGAAATGAAGCAAAGCCTAAAGACAAAAGCGGGCTGAGAGGCAAGGCCAAAAGGCGAAAGAGAAAGCTTTGCAAACTTAAACAGGGTTTGTAGCCACATTTTAGTTAAAAAAAAAAATAAGTACCTATAAGCCCTTTTCAAGCACATTTTAAGGAAAAAATAAGCACCTGTCTAATTACATTATATACAACTGCATAACCTTAAAAGAAAAATTAGACTTGTAAATTAAAATATGAGCAATGCAATATTTATTAAGAGAATGAGCATTACCTCAACCATGGAAAACAATTAACTTTTTTTTTAAAAATTTTAAATGACAGTTCAATTTACAGAATTAGTTTACAATGAGAGAAAAAAAAACTATGCAGAAATAAACTATATTACAAAATTTAATGATGAAATTTCAGTTCAAAATATAGAAAATAAATAATAATAAGCCATATTAATTGTATTCATTTGGCACCTAATATTTTATTTTTCCACTCATATTAATATTTAAATAATTTAACTTAAATTAAAATTCTGAACATTTTCTAAATTTTCATTGCATAACAGATTTTCCTTAACATATATTCCAAGCAAAGTAACTTAAGTAAAAAAGAGGCACATTTCTGAAATCAGAATATGCGAAATTGCTTCATGCAGTCATCCTTTAACAGTAAAAGCTTAACTAACCTGCACACTCGGAAATTGCCGAATATTTCGGATAAACTGGAAAAAGAGGAGTGAGGGAGATTGTAGCCGTTCTTCAGATTTCTCGGCTACATAAATGATTTTGACATTTCAATATGTGCACCACATAAAAATAGACCAACGGAACTGAGAAATATTCTGCTTAGAAAGCACAGTAAAACTCTTTAAGTGATCATAAACAAATCTCAGACTGAACATCAAAATTAATTATCTTTGCAAAATACCGCAAACATTGCGCAATACGTGCGGCGTAATTCTTCCACATGCGATATTACGCAATCGGAATCAACAGCTGCCAGTATTCGGAGAATAAAGAACTAAATAAAGGAAAAGAAAGAGACTTACCAATCTGGAGAGTTTGATTCTAATTTTCAACAGACTGTGTTAAATTTCCAGAATAGAATCAATCTTCGCTTAGGTTGGGTAGACCACAAAAAAAAAAAAAAAGAAGTCCGATGCTTCAATATTAGACATTTTGCGGAGAAAGGGGAGAACCTCCAAACCTCCGTACTGTATAATGTATTGGCAGAAAAAAAAATGAAATTAATTTGACTATTTGATTACTTTTCTTTTATTTAAGCCATTCCGAATATTATTCCTTAGAAAGCTAGTTCTGCGTAAAAACACACCCATTTTTTGGAAGTTTATTTATACTTCACCAGTTATTGCAACTATATTATTATAAGTATTCATACATATGCTCATAATAAACACGAATATGAAATGACCACGCGGAACAAGAATGCAAATTATTAAAATCTTGATGGAAATTCAAATGTGTGTAGTATTTGGGTGGGAGGAAAAGAATACCGAATGTATCGGAATTTTCTACTGGTTTAGCAATTCTTTGACCTACAAAACGATGTGCACCTGTCTGTATTCTCTCTCTCGCGCACACCAGATTATGTTAATGCAGAGAAAGGGGGGAAAAGCAATTTCCGGGAGTATGACTCACCATCTGGAAGGAAAGTTGTTATTTAGTTTCGGCTTTGGTACGGGGAAAAATGCGCATTCATTAGAAAAAAGAAAGAAAGAAAAAAAAAAGGATTAAGAAAAGCACTAAAAGCAAAAACTAAGCACTAAAAACAAAAAATAAGGGCTTTAAAAAAGTAAGCACCTATAAGGTCCTTTATATTTTATTTTCAAATATAAGGACTTATAAGCACTTGTAAGGACCGCTATGAACCCTGCTAAAACCAAAAAGGGGGAAGTCATGATGGCTAAAACAAGAAGTGACTGAAGGCCGCGAGGTTACAATGCTAGTGGAATAATTCTTCAAACTTTTGTCTTTACATAAATGAACAATTAAAGTAAAATTCAAACAAACATATAAACAGATATAAAAACAAAATAGTAAATAATATTCGTAACATATAAATAGTGATAACAAAGTAATAAAAATTTAAATAAACTTATAAACAGATATAACTTGGTTACAAATGTAAGTAAACACTGTAGTGACTAAAAAATTTAACACATTGACGTGAATGGAAGGAAAAATAACAATCAGAATGACAAACATTGTAGGATTAAGAATAATCAATAAAGTCCAAGTCACTTACATGTATAAATTGCGTAATTGACTTCATGATATTAGGAGCAGAATTACATTTTGCCAATGTTCTCAGTGAAGGGAATGGTGATGGAAAAAGAGATGTTCTTTCAACTGTTACTGGACAAGATGTGATGTAATGGAGCTCTCCACTACTTCCACAGCCACATCTTGTGTTCTTTTTATGAAATCTTTAAACATATTGCTGAAATTTACCATGGTTTGTCAAGACTTGATTTAAAATGTGATCTGATTACATACGAGAGAGAGAGAGAGAGAGAAACTTGGGGGAAAGCATAAGTGGTAGACTGTAGAGTCCCTCACCCCATCTTTGCTGCCATGTTTTAAGTGATTCTTGCAGGACTTGATGTTTGGCCAAAACCTCTGAAAGTAGCACTTTATCTTGTTTTGTCTTGTTGCTCTTTCTGCTTCGGAATCTGCTCTTTCCTTCTCTGCGATTCCAATGTAAGCTTTAATCCAATTAAGGTCTAGGGAATGGGAACCTAAAAGTGTTTTTATGATTTTTTTAAGGCTAAGGAGAATGCATTTTTTTGTAATTTTATCACTATTTAAACTTTGAAGGAAACTATGGCTATCTGTAAAAATACAAATAGGAATGCTGTCAGTTGTTGAGGAACTTATCCAGATCAGTGCTTTCCTTTAAAGAATATCTGCTTGGAACACGGAAGCCGTATCATTTAATCTGTAAATTTCAGAATGAACTTTGTGCCCATTGTTGCACATAATGAAAGCCGCATCTATATTTCCACCAATCTTAGATTCATCAATAAAGATTTCGATATTTTACCGTGCCGGAGTATTCTTATGCCAGGGAATTGTCTTGATAACCAGGATGAGTAGAAGTGTGGCACTCTTTCTTCTAAGGTATTTGTACCATATAACAAGATTGCCTAGTTCCAGTTTTCCTTATATTATTCCTAAAGAATTTTCTTTGAACCTCCTATCTAAGAGCATAAAGCCCGAGAGAACTTGGAGAGTTGATGTGGGAGATGCTGAATAACACTTGGTAATACATAAAAGAACTGTCCTTTGTATTTGTGAAAGTTTTTGCTTTTGACATACGGTGCCCATGAACCACACGGGACACCCATAAAGTATCAGTCACTCAACAGCTCTTAGCTAAAGTATTTTAAGTAATTTTCTTTTGGTGCTCCAATATTGAAAAAATGATCTGATTTAGTTTGGGTTTTCTCCTTTAAATGTACTAAGTGTGGAATCCATTTGAGTTTCTGATCAAGAATAAAACCCAAGTATTTTGATTAAAACTTCCTGAAACAGTTATGTTGTCCCACTTAATTCGTGGAGGCGATCTATGTAATTTAGAGCCAAATTTATTTTGTTTCTATTAATACTAAATATTTGTTGCTCCAGTGCTTAAGTTTTTCTAAAGCTCTACGCATCTAAAGCATTGTATTTTCCGGTTGCTCGAATTACGTGAAAAAGGTTTCTTGGGCATTTGACTTCACTTAAACTCGATAGCAATCCAGGCCACCAAAGGTCATTGAATGCAGATACGTCTATAGAAATAACACAAGTATGAAGATTGTTCATTCTATTGTTAAGAATTTCAATAACTAGGCTATTTGTTGCATTAATTGAGCTACAGCGCATTGTAAAACCATATTGTTGGCTATTATTATTGAGTATTTTCTTTGCAATAACAGGGTTGCCACTCAAACAGGAGAATGAAATTCCCTGACTTTTCCAGGTTTCCCAGGTGTGTTTCAAGAAAATTCCAGTCTATCCGCATAATGTACGTTGGCTGTGCTAAGAGGTAAATTAATTATGGTATTACTTGTATTGTGTAGCAAATTCACTTAATTATTCAATAAATCCCCAGAGGACATTTATTCTTAATTATTCTTGGTATACTTTGATAATTTTGTTTAGTTTTCCCACTTAAGAAACTTAATAAAATTTAAGATATATACATTGGATAACAAATGTATGTTTTATTTAATTATTACTCATGATCATCACCAGTTCAACACGAGGCTAATCCGGTCCTTATAAATCACAACCCAATGCTAAATAGTTAGGTTAGATTTTAAATAGTTAGGTAAATTTAATTTGTGTGAGGTATGTTCTTAAAAAGCACCTTAACACTTGAAAACACAAATATAATTATAATAGTTGTTGTTTTCTCCACTGAAGATTGAGATTAGAAACTTCCCAATCTGGAATAAAATAAGGCTTTTTTTGCAGACATTCTGCAGCTAAACGAAAGAAAGAAATCTATTTTAATAAATTGAGGTATTTTATATTTATTTTGCAGCATACATAAGGAAAAAATATGTGCATTAAATTTCGTGACGGTATGTCATCATACTGCTATAATTAATTTTAGGATTATGCCAGAGAAAATTTCCTGAAATTTGGAAATATTATTTACTAATAATAAATAAATTTAGAGGGAAGAAGCAACATTAAATTATATGAATAACATAAAAAAAAAAAAATAATTACTTAAAAATTGAATTAGAATAATCAACGATATTTTAGCGAATATAGTTATATTACATGGCTAGCCTAGATGACTGATTACTATTTTTTTTATTTTACTGCAAAATGGCAAGGTATTTATATTAAAAAGAAAAAAAAAAAAAAAAAAAAAAAAGTTTAAAAAGATTTTGCAGTAAAATTCTAGTATACGGTAAGGCTTTGGCACGATTTTGAAAATTGTCGCCAAGACCAAAATGACCCGTTTACTGCGTATCATGATGTCGCCAAATCCCATTATTATTCTAAACAAAGAACGTCTATGTAAAGAAGAAAAGGTTCCATACAAGTAAAATGCTATTACGCCGTTAGAATGCGGAGGGAAAATTTGCCAAGGGATTTGGCGACGGAACCTGGCGGCCAGAATTTCTCTCTTCGCGCTGTGTACAGGAAATTGAGAAACACGTGTTAAGAAGAAACGCTCTTTGACAAAAAGAAAACTACAAAAATCCGTTTTTAAAATTATTGCGAAAAATCCACGCAATAATTTTAAAAACGGATTTTCGTAGTTTTTTTCCCCCTGAAAATAACTAATCCATGAATTAATTTACTTGTGCCAAAAAATAATTTTTTTTTCCTTTAGAGTTTAACCACTTGCGCTAAGACTAAACTTCACGGTTGCGGTGCCGTGCGCTACAATATAACAAGCGGTAAAGTGTCTCATTTACGCCGCTTCGCATCTGCGAGTGCAATCCAGAGCTGTAACTCCAGAAATAAACAATCTCGTTGTTAGGCGACGTGTGCACCACATTATTTTCATTTTTGTGGTAAATGCTTATCGACGTGGTGTTCACGTCGCTCACGGTTTGAGAGAAAAGCATCTCGACGTGCGTGGCACGTCTTTTTAGCGCAAGTCGTTCAAGAAATTTTAACGATATTCATTTTATGAACTCTTGATAACGTGACCTTCAAACTTCGACACCGGTTTCGAGCTTCGGCAACAGATATATCAGACATGCACCGCTGTTTCCCTCTATGATGGAACGGAGCCACGTCTGTTGCAGAGAGGTTTTCCTTCTTTACAATACATATTCTTTGATTCTAACCTCCATGGTACCGTATACTAGGATTAAACCCATTTTGTTTTATACGAGAACAGGTACTTTCTTTAGTTCATGCACTGCACATGCGATTCTCGAGAATACTGGAAACCAAAAGTTGCGGGAAAGTTGCTTTGCCTTTCTAAAAGACAATCAAATTGGAGCTGCGAAAATTGGCTCTATGCCAGCTACCCGAATGACACTCACGTGATACATAATTCGCCAAAAAAGTTATCTCTTCCGACGTCGGCGCAAAAATCGCTTTTTTTGGCGGCATCGTTGTATGAACTTCCCTGACTTTTCCAGATTTTGACAAAAATACTTAAATTCCCTGAATATTTTGGTCAATTTTCGAATTCCCTGACTTTTCCCGGTTCTCCAGGTAGCGTGGCAACCCTGAATAAAAAAATGAGTTGGTCGTCATGAATGATCTTATCTAGTATCTTGCCCCAAGCCGATAAAAGGCAAATGGGTCTGTAGACATTGGGATTTCTAACATCTTTCCCTTCTTTCTGAAAAAGGACTAAAATTACCAATCTTCCATTCTTCTGAAAGTAACCAATTTCTAAGCATCTATTCTTAATTCAAGTCCTTGCATTAGCAATAAAGACTTCCTCTACAATATCTATGGAAAGTTCGTCTTCCCTTGGGGCTTTTCCTCTTTTTGTAGAATTGATGATATTGTTTATTTCTTGGGTAGTATTGGAAGATCATCTGTATCTGGAGTTATAAAACGATTTCATCTCTCTCTCTGCTCCTCATTGTCGTTCTCAACGTTGTCCTGAGGGAAGTGAACGCTAATGATATAGCATAGAGTATCTCCACTGCTTTATTGTAGATTTGACGTTTATCTTTCCTCTCTTGATTACTTGCATTTTGATAGTTTTGGTGCAATTATTTTAGTTGTCTTCTTTCTTGTGTGAGAACATGGCTCCACCACATTTTTGTAGTTTCGTGTGTTTTATTAGATGGTAAATGCCTTAAATATTGTTTAAACAGTACCTTTAATTTTTCTGAAATTTCTTTAATTGTAGAATTTTAATTTCTGCATCAGAATTCAAATTAAATTCTGAACAAGAAAGATCTGTTATCTCCTGCCTTAATGCAAGCCATTGAGAGTTTTCAATTCTCATTTTGAGTCTTTGAGAAGAAGGGCCTCATATCCATATGAATTTCAAAATTAATTGCTTTATAGTCACTTAACGTCTCTCTCGAATCCACTTCCTATTTTTAAACTTTGTACCTTTGTATCCCTTAATGGAGAGTTAAGTCAATCCATGTGTTTCCAAGAAGACCTACAAATGCCGGGGGCTATTTTGATCATTAATAACAGTGAGATTAATTGTTGCTGGAAAAGTCTCCCATATTCTTGATCCACAAGGGTTCGTTGGTACTGAACACCCATATGTTTTGAATTAAAGTCACATACTAAGTACATTTTTTATACATCATTTATAAATAAATAAATCTTAGCATTAAAATTCTGCAGCTCTTACACAACCATAAAACCTTTGGTGGCAGTCCTTTTTCTCAAAATGGTATCCATGAAACTCCTTAGATGGTGTGAGGATTAAAACAATGAATAAAAATAATGTCAATTCTGCTGGCAATAAAACCTTGGTCAAATGTTTAGTTCTTTTACCAATATAGTTACTATATTTATTAATAATAGGCCAAAATAAATGACCCTAAATAGGATTTAGTTGTGTTGTCATTTCCTTTTACAGATATTTTAATACAAACTAAAGAGCTCCTTAGATAAGAAGGGTGTATCCGCACGACATCTAAGAAAACTGTGTTAAAATAAAAATTTATTTATTCCAAGCAAACTAATATCAGGGGGAAAAAATAGCTTGTACACACAAGTTTAAACTGTTAGTTAACAAATATTAGGTTACCAATTCTATTTTTTTAAAAAACCAAATTATAATTAATTTCTACTTGTGACGCACGTATTAAAGACCAGTTAAAAACAAGAATAAATCACAACTCAAGTGAAAAAGACATTTAACATATCTTGTAGAGTAGGTGCTATTAAGCCCCCCTAAAACGTCCACGCAAAAAACCTAATAAAGTTTACCAGAAACAAGCTACGAAATAATGTATATAAAAAAAGTATACAAAACTGAAAAATATTCAATAATATTAAGATCTCTTAAAAAGAGGAAATTTTTTAAACTGCATTACCACTTTGTTTTTAAAGGAAATATTGGAACAAACACAAATTCAAGTACAAAACAACAAATACAATCAACCAGGACCGTACTAAATGTAAATTAATTTAGCAAGTACAGTTTCAATAAAGACCCAAAAGTGCAGTGTAAGCTTTTGTAGCATTTTAAGAGTTAAAGAACTATTTCTAAAGACAATCTTTTTAAAAAAACTCACATCCATGCTATCTTCTCCTTCACCATTCACATCTGATGCAGCAGCTGCAGCTCTTGCTGCTGCCTCAGCAGCAGCAGCTGCAGATGCTTCTGCTTTTCGCTTTTCTTCCTCTTCCTGATCAAGCTCCTTAATACTCTCCTCTAAAACATTAGGCCAAAAATCTCCTTCAAAATATGGTAATTCTGATGCACTCTTCAAATGATCTTCTGTAGCCTGCTTCAAAATATCCTGAAAATATAATTGCAAAAAAACATTTATTGTAATAGTAAAAAAAAAATCAACATTTTTAACATCAGATTATTTACATTCAGAGCTGCACACTTACAAATTCTAGAAATTGAGAAAACTTTCAATGAATTCAGCTCATACACAGGAAGTCCCCCCCTCCATTCCTTAAAGATCTAAGAAACAAACACTTTTTAAATCTTTTTGGTGGGTTTCTTTTTAAAACTACAGCCCAGAAATATAATGGGTATGAGAAATAGAAGGTGAAACCTCACCCTGTAATCTTGATGGGAGCGAGAAGGAAGGGTTAAACCATTAAGTTAGAAGACATATTTGGAATTTCTTTGCTCAATCCAATGTACTTTGATTTTAAATGATTATCAGGTACTAGAGAAAATTTCAAGAACATTTTGTAAACATTCAAATTGTCTATACACATTATGTATGGACACAGTCCCTCATACAATAGATTGGTAAGCACATCAAAATTGTAAATGATTATCACGATCCTGAAAATTGAGGCTTTAGTGTTTACCCTCTCCCTAAAAGTTAAATGAAAAAAAGTACTCCATTAAGAAATTGTTTAATCGATATAAACCAACATATGCAACTTAAATAACAGGAAATAAGAATTGTATCTGTCATACTCTAATAACAATTTATATTAATTATTTATTTATAACTAGTCCTGTGAAAATTTTGTAAATTATAACGCTGATTTTTGTTGTTTGACTTCTGAATTAACAATTTATATATCATTTTCAAATTAGTTAAAATATTTTCTGTCTTTGTAAGTATTCATCATGTGTTTCAAAGCATCAGTATAGTATTTAATATAAAAAGCCACTCTATGCAAAAATAAAGGGGGAGGGGGAAAGGGCAGTTCTAGACCTTCCATTCTACTTTGCTGATTGCTGAAACTCAATTTGCTTCTTCACATCTTGAAAGCATAATTCAGGATATACATTAAGACTCATATACAGGACTATTCTAGCACAGATATTTTCACACAAAATAGGACATTTTCTGAAATGACATATCCCCCCCATATTTCAAATTCTACAAGTCAAATTACGGTTAAATATTAAATTCTGTAAGCTTTGGTGAAAAACTTACCAAGTAATTTAAAACTTCTTCTTGGGGCCCTTTTTTCAGTTTGCAACAAGAATACTTCACTGGGCAAAATTCTTAATTTATAGCGACCGATTTTCCTTTCCTCTTTCTTGATAAATTATGAAATAAAAATATAGATGAATAATTGATGCAAGCATGCTTATTAAAATGAAAGGGAAGCTACTAATTTACGACAATATTTTACAAAAGTATAAGGAAAAAAATTACGAAAAAAGAATGATTATTACGTACTCGCTTTCAGGTATACTAGTTAACATATTCTGTTTTCATACATTTAATAATTACCTGTGTAGTTTATTTAGAATTAAAAAAGAATGTTTATTGTCTTAAAGTTTTATAGCAAGCGGAGTTGGGAGTTTCAGTAGCTTATAGAGAAAATGTAAGCATATTTTAAAAATTGCCAGTTTCTTTAATTTCCCTATCAGCACTGCGATGAAAATTACCTTTTGTGCAAAAATTTAAACTGCAACTCAGCAGCAACAAATATTTCCCAATCTATGTTTTAACAGTCCTGTGCTCACATGAAATATCTGACAAGTTTACCAGTTTTTTAGCACTTCAGTGTAATCTGAATTTATTCCATGAAATAAATTGCTAAGATTCCCCATGAAAAATTTCATCTTTATCTTTTAGGCAGATTACTCCCATGAGCTTTGAAGTACTTCAATTAAATGAACACGCAAATATGATGTTTAAAAAGCAATCATTTAATTACTTTTCCTAACCTATTATCTTATTTGACAGAATTCTTGGAAATCTCTCCAAACAGTTGTACAGAAAAATGTTGAATAGTATAGTTAGAGTTACTCAGTAAAAGTATTCAATCCTATTAAGTTTCTTATATCAGTCAAAATTATACCACCTGAGTTAGAAAATATGGATTCATAACTTTACAAGTAAGGGGTAAAAATTAAACAGAAACAAAAAATAGCAAAATGAATTAAGTTTACATACCATAGCAGTGTAACAAAGCAGAAAACTTTAAAATTTAAATAATCTTAAGAGTCAAACCAAATCAACAGGAAGGGGGGACATTAATAAAACCAAATAAAGTTTTTCAAGCAGCACCCACCCCAAAAAACTGAAAGCTTTCAGATTTTACATTACGCATAGAGGGGCTTTTTTTTAACGTTTTGTGTGTTACATTTATTGATTAAATATGTTCTTTGCCTTTAAGACACAAAATTTAATTCAGTAGCAATGTTGCAAAATAATTTTAAAATGAGCATATCTTTAGAATTTCTCAATCACAGTTTGGCATGCTGGAGATAATTCCCCGCCCCCCTCCGGTACAGTGTTGCCATTGCTCGCTTGGAAATCATAGAATTTGTTAATCAAAAATGCATTAAAGTTTTACAAAACATGAAATAGATACACATTTCAAATCAGGGCTTCCAGATGCCCATATTCGGGTGGGGGATTAAATTTTTCAAAATTTGATGGCTCTAGGTACCGTTGCTTATACATACATATATTTATGCAGATTCTTCATTATTTAATTTCTTTAAATATAATGCAGGGCTCTAACATTTGGTGACTAACAATTTGAAAAGTGATACACCATTTATAGTGATTCAATGCAAAATGCCAAAACGAAATTAATAGCCTTTCTGGGCTTAAAAAATGTTACAACCAAACATCACTTTTAAAAGATAATAAGATTAGCATTACCAAACTTTATTTAAACACAGGTTAAAAAAATAAACTTAAAACTTCTACTTTAAAATTGAACAGTTAATAAGATTAATATTAATCAAAATTACATTACTGATAATCCAAATTTAGCAATCAAACAACTCATGTGCATTTGCATTGCAACTGCTTAGAAATCAATTTTTAACCCTTTGCCCGGCTTGGATACACTTAAAATTTCCTTCTGTAAATGAAAATTACATTACTGATAATCCAAATTAAGCAATCAAACAACTCATGTGCATCTGCACTGCAACACCTTAGAGATCCATTTTTAACCCTTTGGCTGGTTTGGACACACCTAAAAATTTCCTTCTGTATGCACAGAAAAACTCAATAAAAAGGGATTTATAGGTTACTCTGAACCTTCTTTATTTAAAACTTTGATGCCGGCATGATCCACCGGTGGCCCATGCTAGATTGTTCTGTGGGGCGGCATGCATCACCGATGGGCCACGCTTGTATATCAAAAAATATGTACTACAAAATGTTATTTTATTGATTTAACATTATACATTAACATTTCTACCTTATAATCAAACATTTAACACAAAATACATAACTTATAATTTAATCAATACATTAAATTATAACAAAATATAACTATTTAAGTTACCAATGCAATTTTTTAAAACATTTTAAATAAAGTGCCGGCTTATAAGGACAACTGCTACAAATAGTCATTACTTTTTTGCTTTGTTTGTGGTGTACTGTGTATCTTTTAAGTTTGTTAAGCGTTTGTAACTTTCTTTACATCTTATCCTAGTCTTCTTCGTGGATCCTTGGTGTGTAAACTTAAATGTTTTCTCCATCTACTTGCTATTAATTCTTCACTAGGGGGATTCTCAACACTCTTCAATAGATAATCAATAATTTTTTCTCTAAATTTTAAAATTTGGTAACGCTTGGTTCCCCACTTTTTGTGGATGTACCACACATTTACTAAAGAGGTCCAGCATATTAGCTCCATGACAACTTTTCGATACCATTTTCCATAAACATTTATAATAGGAACACACATGGTCAGATATAACAACTCCCCTTTCCGCACTATCGTAAGAAAAAACTGTATCTGGTTTTAATTTATCATCTTTTCCATGAATAATGGCACAATTGTGAGATCTCGAAGTGGTTAAAAAGTACAGGGGTCTTTTGTTGGTCCACTCTAAAAATTTCATGCCGCTCAGATTTTCAAGAGACATAATGTCGCCCATTTCTGTTTTTGCTTTGCCTGCGGCGGTAGAAATTTTCTATTCATTTTGAATGTACTGCAAATATATGTTATTTTAGTGAGAAGATCTTTGGCTAAAGGAATACTTATACAAAAACTGTTGGTAAATAAAATCTGGCCCTTGAATAATAGATCTCCTATCAATTTCATGGCTACATCATGAAAATGTGTTTTTACAATTCTCGTTTAATTTTTTCCCGGAATAAATATGCATATTGTATGTATATCCGCCCAGAATGCAGTTTGCACAGTTTTATTCTGTACTTGTGCCGCTTACCTGATATATATTGACGAAAACAAAGGAGTCCTTTCCATGGAACCATGCTTTCTTCAATGTACGAAAAATTTAATCAACTACATTTCGGAGTTTATGTATTTCAATATTGCTAAGAAGCGATCGTGTTTCATCGCTTTCTGTACATGCGCATTCGCATACACCCTCTTTGGACCAATATAGTCGAATTTCAGATACTTGCACTACACCCATAATAAGCAAGATACCAATAAAGCTATTCAATTTACTTTTTGTAACAGAGTTCTATGCTTGTTGATGTTGTCTCCTGCCACATGCCGCATTCACTATGCACTGTTCAGCGCACCTATTCGTTTCTTCAACGATTAACTCCAATATTTTATCCGTGAAGAATAATTTACATAATGCAACAGGATCGTTGCAGTCCGTCTCTTCGATCAGTAGCTCTTCTTCCGAATACTCTTCCTCTGATGCAGATTTTTCTGCTATTTTCCACCATTCCGCATCATCATCTTGGTGAAATACATCAGACTTCCAAACTTTTTCCTCCGTGGTATTTCTATCAGTTGTCGTGTCTGATGATGATGAAAGTATTCAATTTCTTTGTCTCTTTCGCATGATTCCAGATACGGATTCATCAAACGAATCACTGAATTCCATATCCATTGTATCTAATATTGATGGGCAAAAATT